AAAAACAGGAAAGTAACAGCTGGTAAACCGCAGCCTTTTGCCACTTTATAGACCAGTGGTCCGTCGAAGTAGTTATCTCATGCATGCAATTTTCCTTTGGTGGGTTGGAGCCTCCCTACTGTATTTAAAATTTGATTTAATTTGAGGCTGCCAGTTATTTTCAGGAAAGATTAGCAGCAGTTTCTTCATAAAATTACGAGCAATCAACAAAGTCAATAAGTGGGGAAAGAAATGTCTTATAAAACAGAACAGCAAATCACATGCGATTCATCATGAAAATTTCAATATTGTTAAACATTTCACAACAAAAACTAGAGATTTAGACCAGAGACCAAAAATCCAGTGTTCAGACTTTTCGAGAGCTCCTTAAAATTTTTGCCAAACCCTATGGGTTTCCACACAATTCTTTTTTGTTTAAAACTTAGCCACTTTCTGTGTTCCTACACCACTTGAGGCTCTTCATATGTAAGGAGATGGTTTGACAAGCTTCTTGGAAAGATGGAAGTACTCTGATGGGTTTTAGTCCCAATTAGCAAATGCCAGGCCCTAAAAGGGAGAGAAAGCTCATAGGCTTCAGTATAAATCATACATACATACCAGATCTCCGTTTTCAGATCTCCTTTTTAGACTTTCACATGACTCTGCTTTGAGGAGATATTTGAGTGAACATTCTTTTAATCTAATAATATAATGTGCAGTGTAGGACATGGACACCATGAGTAAAGCAGCTGAACTAGCAAAAGCAAATTAGGTAATGAAAATGTGAGTGAGAGGAAAACCTGAATTCTTTACAGTTACAATTCTTCACTTTGGGGTTCAGAGGCGATAGTTTGTGGATGAGCTTTAGGCATCCGTGAACCCCCCAAAGTTTAATGCAGAATTCTGTGTGCATGTTTTATGTGCCTTTATCATAGCTTTCATCAAACCCTCAAAGGAGTCTGTGACCCACCTCCACCAGAAGATGATGAGTTAAGTTTCAGGGGCAGTAATGAGACTCTAAGCCTCCACTGTCCCACAGGCAGCCTCTCCCACGTGTGGCTACTGGGCACTGGGAGTGTGGCCAGTCACCCTGAAATGTGCTGTACGCGTAGAGTACACACTGGCCCTTGAAGGCTTAGTGCAAACACAATATAAAATGCTTCTTTATAATGTTTTCAATACATTGGATTATATATAAATTAATTATTAAAATGAATTTCATCAGTTCCTTTTTACTTTTCTAACACGGTTATTAGAAAACTTTAAATTGCATTTGAGGCTCATACTGTATTTCTATTGCATGGTTGCTGCACTGAGCCTCTCACCTCCATGTCATCACCTCTTTTCTGATCATGTCAGTAGCATTCAGTTATTGGCCTCAGTGACAGTGAGGTGCAGCTACAGTCCCATTCCAGTTTCTGAGAGCCACAAAGGTATATATTTATTGCCTGTTACGATCAGCAACCTTTATCCTGGAAAGAGCCAGAGGAGACAGTGACCATGCAGGAGACCTTCTGGAATCACCTCCATGGAGGGAGACTGAGGCACCCCCCCAGGGGTGGCTTTGGCTCAGGGCTGTGGGAGTCTGTGTCTGAATCAAGACTGCCTTTGCCAATAATCTGGCTCCAATAACCATCCCCCTCCAACCCAATCCAAATTCTTAGCCTCTTACAGGAAGGTTTCAACAGGCACTGGCTTCCTATTCCCTTAAATAGAACTAGACCAGGCAGCCCAAGTATGTGGAACAAGGCAGACATTTTTTATACTCACGCTGTCAAAGTGATTTAATTCTGTATTGACTTGCTGGTCTTCCAGAAGCTCTCAGTGAATTCCACCTTTGTTCTTTCAGACAGTACTATGCTTACCTCACCGACACACAGTGCAAGCGTGTGGGAACACAGTGCTGGGTGTTTGGGTGAGTAATCTTTTATCGTGGACATATAAAACCACTTTAGCCTCTGAATTTCTTGGGTTATTTCTTAACCCTACATTAAGTGCCTTTCAGTGCAGTTTTGTTTTTGTGTGTCTTTCATTTTTAACATTCCTTTTCTGATTTAAATTTAGAGGAGTTAATTGGCAAGTTACACAAAGAGGGTGTAGAAACTGTTTTTTAAAAAAATATTAGGAAATCAAGAGATAATTCCCATGTAGAACTTGAAGACCTTGTTTCTTGAAATAAATCAGAAAATGAGTTATATGAATTCCCTGTGAAATTGATGGTGAGTTTGGGACAACATATCGTGATGGGCTTAACCACATTTTACGTTACTTTCACACCAGAAAGACCCCACAAAGCGACTGCTTGCTGTCTACCAGGGTCTAATTTTATTGTCCCAAAGAAAACTAACACATGGTGACAATTTATTGTCTCATTACAGATACAAATGCTGTATCTGAATTTACAATTATTTAAGTGATTTGAAAGAAAGCAGAGGTTACCCAGTTTAACCCCCAATATTAAATGGGAGATACTCTTCAGTGTCTCAAATAAGTGCTTCTTCTGCTTCAATACCATCAACATCTCACCATGCCATTTAGCAACTGAAGTTCCAGAGACATCCAGCACACCTGTAGGTGAAGTTCAGTCTCTCAGGGAGCTTACATTCAGGACCTAACCTAGGTTCTAAATGGAGTGTGACAGCATAAAGAAAATCTGATGAAAACCCTAACAGATTTTTAAACAGAGTCACTTTTTTTCCCTGTATTACATGCGTATTGAAACATCACCCAAAGACATCAACTATTTAGAGATACTTGCTGCTTATGTTGCATTGTCATTCGTTCCAAGCGTGTGTGTGTGTGTGTGTGTGTGTGTGTGTGTGTGTGTGTGTGTGTCTGGAGCTCTCACTCCAGATTCTGGGGAGTTAGTGAAGTTTGATCTAGGCAAGTTTCCCACCACCTTCTTTCCAAAAGACAAAGGGCCGTTGTCACTGTTTCTCATAAATTCTGTGATGTAAGCTGATTTTCCTACCCAAAGTAGCTTAAAGGGTGATAGGATGGACTCAATTTCCATCCTATGGATAGGATGGATTTCCACTGATTACTGATCTGGCGGGAGAGAGAATTCACACATCTACCAGATTTCTAATGTACTTCTGTCACAGGAAGGAGGAAGGTGGACTGCCTTCCTACTGTCTTGTCCAAGGACTGGGGATCTTCCCTGCACTTCCTTCTTTCACCACATGCCTCTTCTTTCCACGGGCATTTTTCTCTTCACGTTTACAAGTCCTTGCCAGCGTCTTACTCTACGGAGCGTGGGTATATTTTCCACAGAACTCTCTACTTACCTGTTGAGGAAAAGGAGACGGCGGATCAGAGAGAGAGGCAGTGTTACAACAAAGTTTTTTTTCTGATCAGGCGGTCTGAAACTATAATCACCGTGGAGGGAGAAATGGCCTAGAGGAGCAAGGGCAGAGAATGGTGGCAAACGCCACTCCAGAAAACTGCACCTTGCTGAAAAGTGGTAAAAGAAAGTAAAACGCAAATGATCTGAGATGCAGAGGTCAGTTGGCTAATTTAGGATGCTTTATTATAGAGACTTGAGTCCTCCCAGAATGGTGACATCAAGGTTGGTGAACCTTGAGAACTAGTGGGCCATGCTGAAAACGAGCAAGTCCCTCTTCATAAATCAAGCAGGGCAGACCTGCCTGGCGCGTGAACTGGGGCAGGAGCTGCCTCTGGGCGGTCAGCACGGTCAGCCCATGACGGTGAAACAGGAGGCGCGGCCTCCAGTCTCTTTTCTTCGTTACGCAGTCAACTGAGTGGGTCCTGAACAGCATTTTCTGAAAATCAGATAGAGTCGGAAGATGTCAGAGCAAGGGGCCGGTTGTTTTGTGTGACTTTTGTTTCAGTCGTGTGTGTGTGTGTCTGTGTGTGTGCGTGTGTCTGTGTACTGGGCCACAGTGAAAAATAGGCTTCCTGCCGTGGGTCTCAGATCACAGAAGTTGGAGAAACAGGTCTAGTCTGCTGGTCACCAAGCTCTTGAAAGCTGCCTCAGTCGGCTTGAATACCCAGACACCTCTCACAGTAAGCTCTGGGTGTTCTGTCTGGTTAAGGGCAGGTAGGCGCACTTCTTCTTAACATTTTCTGATGCAGTCCTGCATCCCAGCAAGACGTCCCAGCAAGAGGCTGCACACGTTCTGTGTGTCCGCCGGCAGGCGCCCTTGCCCTCGCTGCTTCCCTGACAGCCTCGACTTCAGTGTGACAGTCGACCTCAGCCCTGCTCTCCAACGTGCCAGCCTTTGTTGTGGCGGGGAGCTGGGGAGGAAGAGGGGGTGCTCTGAAAAGATCCAGGCGACCACTCCTAACCTTGTTTCGTTGGGGCTGTGGGCCAAGACAGCTCCAGATTCTTTAGAGGCGTGTCCAGGAGACTTTCTGCTTTGCACAGGTGGCTCTGACTCTGGGCATTCCGTTGTTTAGAGCCGTCCATCCATTTGACCATGGCAGTGACCTCTGTCTGCCAGTAGGGAGGGGACCGGGGGCCTTCTGGGCCTCTTCCTGCCTTTTTAGAGATTATCTGTGCAACAAGACCAGTCCCTCCAGATTCCGTTCTGATCGAGGCACACCTAAGGTGGCCTTATCTGAAATCGCTGTTCCTGGGCAGTCTTTGGGATCACATGACCGGCTATGTTACCCTCACCTCATCCGTTCTTACCTTCAAGCTCTGAACCTTAATAAAGGTCTGATTTTAGTATTCATAGATGAAGTTGTATTATACAAGGTTGGCTTTTTTCTCTAATGTTTTAATTAAAGAGGAAAACATGGAAGTTATTTTTTCCATCGTTTTTGGATTTAGCAAAATTGCTTACAGATGCAGAGGATAAAGGGTTTTTATCATCAGCAGAACTGGAGCATATTAAATCTGGAAATTCTAAGATGGCTGGGAGGGAATGTGAATGCTGCCTTCAAGTTACTGAAAGACTCACCTGGAAGGCTCACACTCCCCTATACGACTGCGGAGGGCAGAATTAGGACCAGGGGTGGAAGGAGGCAGGTACCAGCCTGAGACAAGGAACGACTTCCCAACAGCTAAAGAAACTGAGCAGCAGAGGCAGCTGCCCACAGAGGTAGTAGGTTCCCTGGCCCTGCAAGGGCTCCAGCCAAGGGGGTGACTGTCCACCCATTGTGATAAGCTCCGACGTAGATGATACCAGGCAGCCTCCAGCTATGAAGACGTACGAGTTGAGATTGTAGTCTGTGAGGAAGGAAGATGTAAAGAATATTTGATTATTTCTGGGAAGGGATAGAGGGATGAAGAGGCAGAGCACAGAGGGTTTTCAGGGCAGTGAAACCATTCGGTATGACCCTCTAATGGTAGACACATGTCATTATACACCTGTCCAAACCCATAGAATGTACATCACCAAGCGTGAACTCTGACATAACCTGTGAACTTTGAGTGATGTGTCAATGCAGGTTCATCACTTGTGACACATGTTGACAGTGGGGGCAGCTGTGCATGTGTCGGGGCAGAGGGTATAGGGACTCTGTACCTTCCTCTCAAGTTTGCTATGAACCTAAAACTGCTCTTAAAAAAAACAGTCTGCAGAAAAGAAGAGAGGGGTAACAGTACAATAAACTTTTAATTAAATCTAAATATGTATGTATATATAATAATATATATTATTCCTGAAGAAAGCACAGTGTCATTTTGTAGGGGACCTGCTTCCAGTGTTCGGGGCAGAAATCTTATGACCACTTGAACTTTTTGATGGAATTATGCGTATTTCTGGTAATGCATAATGCTCTGATAAGATGAATTCGTATTTAACCTCTTGTTCTGTCTAACAGGGTCATTGGTTTCCTGGAAGCTATTGTCTGCATAAAATTTGGACAAGATCTCTTCTCTAAGACCCAAATCCTCTATGTTGTGCTTTGGCTTCTTTGTGTGGTAAGTCATTACTTTTTTACCCAAAAGTGTTAGTTAAAGTCCTCATGGTGTCTTCTAAAACAAAACAAAACAAAACACTCTTGTGTACCAAGGTTCCTTAGAAATTTATAGACGGGACATTCTACTGTAGTAACGCAAGATTGGCCACTGGTCTGAAGTTCAAGAATAAATACATAGGACCACATGGCACCTAAAATTGGTCACCTTTGCAGGTTCTGGTCAAATGCCCTCAGCAGGTGCATCATACTCTCATTTATTTCGCTTATGAGAATTCATCTACACTTGCTGAAAATGTCAGGCCTGCCATGAGGTGACAAGGATAGTTACAGTGCCCCGTAACATATGTACTACTGTCCAAGGGTTTATGTACAAAATGACAGACTGTTGTTTATAGGCCAGGTGAGGTGTTTTTGGAGGTAATCAGACCATACAGTTTCTTCCCCGCAGGCCGACTTTATAAGCCGTGAAGGATGTGTTTTCCTCTCGGAAGGGAAGAGCCCTGGGGGCCCCCAGCTCCGTTGTCCTGGGACATTTCCCTCCTCTTTCAAATGAAGCAAGATCTTGCCTAGCTTAAAATGCTGTCATTGCGCTTCTTAATTTGTTTTGTTACTTTGGGGAAAAGTCTTATTTTACATTTAAGATTCTTCCCTTTTACTTACTTGGTCCAGAAAATTAACTCGGGTTTTTTTTTTTTTAATGATCATAGAAAATTTCAAACATATGTGGAAGTAGATAGGGGGTTGCTCACCCCTCATGCACCCATCATCCAGTTTCAACAATTGTCAACCCATGGGCAGTCTTATGTCCTTATATTCCATACTCACTATCCCCAACCCTGGGTTACTTTGAAGCAGACCCACTTTACTATTTCAGGACGTATCTCTAAAGCAGATAAGAATGCTTTTTGGTTGGTGCAACCACCATACCATTATCACACCTGAAAAAGAATTAATTCCTTCATACTGTCAAATAGCTAATCAACGTTCACGTTTCTGATGTTTCCTTACGTTTTGTATTTTTTAGCAGTTGATTTGAACCAACATCCACTGATTGCAGTTGGTTGGCATGCCTTTTAGTAAAAGGTCTCTTTTAATCTACAGTTTTCCCTCTGTCTCTAGCTCTCTCCTTTACATTGAAGAAACAAGCTCTTTTGTCTTCTAGATTTTCCCTCAGTCTGGTTTTACTGACTCCATCCTTACTGTAACTGAACAGATTTCTTTGTCCTCTGTACTTTCTGTAAATCGGTAGCTGGATGCAGAGGCCTAATTAGACCTAATTCAGGTCTAATTGGTGGGGGCAGGGAGCAAAACTAAACTCTGTATTTCTTTTTTTGTGTGTGTGGTACGCGGGCCTCTCACTGTTGTGGCCTCTCCCATTGCGGAGCACAGGCTCCGGACGTGCAGGCTCAGCGGCCATGGCTCACGGGCCCAGCCGCTCCGCGGCATGTGGGATCTTCCCGGACCGGGGCACGAACCCACGTCCCCTGCATCGGCAGGTGGACTCCCAACCACTGTACCACCAGGGAAGCCCCTAAACTCTGTATTTTTTTAAAAGTGTTTCTTATTGCCTTTTGTGGTGTCTATTTTTAGGGTTACTTGCTAGAAATCCTAACTGTGCCAGGGCACCTTGAGCCTGTTCTATCCTGTTTTATCTTGAACAATGAAAGGGAATAATGATCTCCTTTGTACTCAGGCTCCGGAATTAACGCTCAGAAGTACTTTTTCTGTTGCAGTGTGACTAGATATAAGGATTGGTTGGGGCAGTGTGTCAGATGGGCCAGGAGATCTCACCATGCGCTCCTCACATTTCTGTCTGGCGTGGGCACCCCAGCTCTGTGAATTGTAGCGTGACCTGTGGCGGTGGGCAGGTGTGGGTGCAGCCCTCACCTGGCGCCGCTGGGACCACAGGGAGGTTGAGGCAGGCGAGACTCCTGGGATGTGGGCCAAAGGCCCTCCTCGCAACAGCCCACTGTGGGCCTCCCCCTGGGGCATCAGCAGCCAGAAAGGTCTCCCCAAGGGCGTGTCCAAGGAGCGATCTCTGGTCACCCAGCCGGTGGGGCTCCTCCAGTCTCTCTCTAAGTTGTAGAGACTTTCGCTCTGTTTTACTGATTAGACACTTAGCATTATACCTCCTTACGTTGGTGAGTTTTGATCTGCCTTGGTGTCTGTGTGACAGTAACTTATTTTGAGGACATGACCCGTTTCTCAGTCTCTGTATCACTTAGCATAGTCCCTTGTAAGTCTGTCATGTTGCCACGTTCTTGTTAGAGCTGCCCTGGTGCTGGAGCCACGCAGGTAGGTGATAGTGAAGATTTATTCATGCTTACTAGGTGCCAGACACTGTTTGAAGCACTTTTCATGAATTGCATATTTGATCTTTACACTTTGAGGGGAGGTACTTTATTATCCCTCTTTTATAGATAAAGGCACAGAGAGGTTCACTCATTTACCTAAGGTCACACAGGTAGCATGTGGCAGAGCCAGGACTCAAACTCAGATAGTCTGGCTGGAGATTTCCTGCTCCCCCTCCACAGGTGTCCCCCTTCGGAGGATCTCCAAGTCCACGTGGGAATTACACAAGCAAACTACTTATATTGCAAACATCATAAAAGATGTTTGGGTTGTAGTGAGGTAGATGGACCTAGAATCTGTCATATAGAGTGAGGTAAGTCAGAAAGAGAAAAACAAACACCATATGCTAACACGTATGTGTGGAATTTAAAAAAGCGGTACTGATGAACCTAGTGACAGGGAATAAAGATGCAGACGTAGAGAACAGACTTGAGGACACAGGGAGGGGAAAGGGTACGCTGGGATGAAGTGAGAGAGTGGCATGGACATATATACACTACCAAATGTGAAATGGATAGCTAGTGGGAAGCAGAAGCATAGCACAGGGAGATCAGCTCGGTGCTTTGTGACCACCTAGAGGGGTGGGATAGGGAGGGTGGGAGGGAGACGCAAGAGGGAGGGGATATGGGGATATATGTATATGTATAGCTGATTCACTTTGTTATATTCACATTTTTATAAAGCAGAAACTAGCACACCATTGTAAAGCAATTATACACCAATAAAGGTGTGCAAAAAACAAAAAGAAAGATGTGTGTGCACGGAGCTAGAGGACCCCTAGAGAGAGCAGCAGACAAGCTGGGGTGAAGCTCCTGGAGGTGATGTGTACTCAGGGTCACAAAGGATCACAGTGAACGGCTCCCCCATCCCTCAGGTGCCCCAGCCTAAGACCCAGGCGGCTGCTTCCTCTCCACTGTCAGCCCCCATGTCAGCCCTCTGGCTCTATTCATTCACCCGGGTGGCCCAGCTCCAGCCCCTCCTCTGTTCCCACTGCCTCTGCCCTCTAGACACCCATTTTCTCCATCCTGCCCTTCACCTCCATTCCCTACACTGCTGCCGGAGTGATCTTCCATAATTCCAATCGGGACCCCTTTGCCCCGCGTAGAATCATTTCCCCTATCGTTGGGGCCTAGAGGGCCTAACAGTACAGCATTTCCCCCCACCAGGTTCAGAGCAATTAGAGATAGTCAGGATGGACGAAGGCTATGGAGGCAGAACGGCAGCTTTACTACTGAGAGTCCACATTTTTCGGTATCAGCTTCAGGTGCGTGCCAACAAGGGGCTTCGGATTAGTGAACCCCAGAAGCAGACACGCTTCCTCTGCAGCCCCAGGAAGCAGGGCGCCCACATTGCGCTGGTGGCCTCGCACCCAGAGGGAAAGAAGGGAGACGCCCAGCTTCCTTGTCTGTTATTCCCTAGTCCGTTAAGACACTCGCACCTCCCTGGGGAAGGGGCGAGGGGTGAGGGAAAGCAGGAGTGTTATACCAGGGAAGCCCCCTCCGTGTAGACAGAAACAGCAAGAAGGAACAGCATCCCCACCACAGACCTACCAGCTGAGATAGGAAGTCGTGCTTGTGTGTTTAGGGCCGTCATTCTGGATCGTTCACCACACCCACCGCCTGTACCCTGTGCTCGGGCTCCGCCAAACTATTCCTAGATACCTCAACCCACCATCCTTCCAGAGTCGTCTTGCCTTCACCCAGGAGGCTTCCTCTGCCTGATCTGCGTGCTTTTCCCTGCGTTCTCTACCTGGTGAATCTTAATGCCAAGACCAAACTTAAATCCGTGTCCTGCATGCAATACGCTCTCACCTGCGAGGCAGACTAGACGACCCCTCCTCGGGGGACCAGCCGCATTTGGTACATGTTTCTTTTAGTTCTAGCCCCAGTGTGATGTAACTTGGGGTATTTATATCGGTCTCCTCCACATGACACTTCCTGCTCACAGAGAATAAGTTTCCATTGTCCTTTTGTCCCCACGGACGCTAGCACAGGAAACACTCGGCACACGCAGGGAGGAGAAAGGACTGAGGTCAAGGGACAAAGACCGGGGCACACAGAGGCAGGTTGAGAGACAAGCACGTCCAAAGACTCGAAGCCATGCCCGTGCCAGCGTCACAAGAGGACGGCAACCTGTTTGGGGAGCAAGAAGGAGAGCGAGTTGGAGGCGGAGGGGGTCGTCTGCGTAGGATGGGCTCTGTGTGTCTTGGTTGGAGATTCGAAGGTTTTTCAGAGGAAAGACTGTCTCATGGGGCAGCTGGAGGGTGGGAGAGTATGGGGGGCCGGATTGGAGAAGGGCTGAGCCTGAGGGTGTTGGAGGGGCCTCAGTGAGAACCTATCCAAGGCAGCGGCATTGAAGATGCAGAGAAAGGGCTGGATCTGAGAGCTACAGAGCCCAACTCGATAGACGATGTCCCCTTCTGAGAGCTGGGGAGGGCAACTCCAGGCTTTCCTGTTTGTGCCACTGGTGGCTTTTGGTGCTAGTAACAGGTTGGAGGATATCAGAGAAGCCCCTCGAAAGGAGATGAGTTAGGTGTGAGGAACTTTTAGATTTTACAGGTGAAGGTGTCTTGTGTCATTGGAAATTCTGGTCTGTCCAGTAGCACTGGAAAGACTCGGTCGGCGCTGGAGGTGAAAGAGGTGGGAGGCACCTGTGTGTAGGGTATGGTTGGAGCCGTTGGGTCGGTAAGAGTCGGGGAACATAGTGTGGGAAGGAGAAGCTGGCTGAGAATGGCGTCTGGGGAGCAGCCACATTTTAGAGGCCAGGCCAAGGGCAAGAAGCGGCCACAGGAAAGAGGACTTTGAAGATAAGCAGAATCCCCCAGTTGGTGTTAGCAGTGATGAACGCCATGGAGGGGGACCTGGCCTGAAAAGAGGCCTTTGGCTAGGATGATTAGGGGTCCCCACTGCCTTGCACATTTACCAGTTAGAGAAAAAGAGTGGAAATAAGGAATAAGGTCCTGGCACATTTTTATAATCATGGCCTTTATTAGAGATCAAGATTGGTCTCAATCTTAGGAGTGAGGCAAACATTATTGAGTAAGAGAGCGTTGAGTTACGCCAGGCCTCCACACTAAGAGAAACAAAGCCCCCAATTATTCGCCTTGCCTGGTAGGAGAACGTACACAGAATCTGAGATCAGTGTGGAAGTAAAGCTCCCAGAGGCTGGTTAATAAGCTGCCCCGCACCAGTTGTCTGATCAGTCGGGGTGAATTTGAGCACACCTTACCATAGCGTGGAAGCCACACCGGGGGTGGGGGGGGGTGTGCTGCCTTGGCTCTCAGCCCTCACGTTTCTCTTTCTTTCTTCCTTTTATTTAAACAGAATCCATACAACTGTCATTTTAAATCCAGGCCTTGACATTTTAAGTGGGTGCTTGCCTAGATTTCCACAGGTGTGATTGCAAACCCATAAATTACACGCTTTTGTCTCCTGGGACAAGTGTATAAAAGGGGCCTCTTGTACCCAGGTGAAGTGGTAAACTTGGCAGCTGCGGCAGGCCCTTTGCCTGGCGATCGTGATGATAAGCATCTGTCTCCCAGCACCTGCCAGTGTTTGCCTGCCCCGCTGCAAAGCCAGCTCTGCTCGGCTGTCTGCTGCTGGAGCAGCCCCAGCTGCCCGCCTGCCCTCCCAGGGGAAGGGAGGAAGCTGGGGGACGAAGAGGAAGAGCCCCACATGCCTGCCCTCTGGTGGGCGGGTTGCACAGTGACAGCCAGCCCAGCCCTGACTGCTCCCATGGTCTAGCGGCGCGGCGCTGCCCCCACCCCCCACCCCCGCCACCGCACAGCCACCGACTGGTCCACGGAGGTGGAACCTGTCCTCCCTGCCCTCCCTGTGAAACCTAGGCCGACCTGTTCTGCTCTTTGTCAAGGAGCTGGCATATACATAGGTTTACACACTGCGGATGCTCTAGTCTTCCCACTCTTGCCATGCCGTGAAAATCGTACATTTAATCGTGGTTGTATATTAGAAATCTGAACAAGTACTGGAATATGTTAAAGATTAGAAGTAGTTTTCATTCTATAATTTGAATATATTCATTCATTGCCTAATTTTTTGATGGGGGATATGAGCTTTTTAAAAAAAATTCCTAATTTATACCAGTTTGTATATGGATTTAATATAAAATGAACTAGTTAGTGGATCTTCTTATATTTCATGTTACCTCTCCACCATGCCGCTATTCACACTTCACTGATGTAGAAGGAGAATGGCCAGCTGGAGCGCTTGGACTCCTTTCTTCCTTGAGACTTAAGGTGACTCTGTGCGCCCAGCAGACACTCAGTGAACGTCACTGACCTGAGGAACTGGGCCAGGGCTGGACCACAAGCTGCGGTGATGAGAACGCACAGCCCAGCCTTCCCTGCAGCCTTGGCTCTACCCTCCAGGCTGTGGGCTGTGCAGAGGGATGGGATGGGACTGGCTTTTCCCATGATGCTTTGCTTCCTCCAGGAATGGATGAGTGGACAGATCAGTAGAGATATAAAGATGTGTAGACATAAAATCAGTATTTATCTCGATAGCCGTCCCTGAAATGTGATCCAGGGATATAAAGAGACCTGTGTTCTGGCTTCAGTCTTGCCACACTCTAGCTGTGTGTCTTTGAGAAGGCAGTCGCCTCTGAGCCTTCATTCCTCTGCTGTGAAATGAGGAGAATTGAAATTAACGATCTCTGAGGCAATGCCTCTAGATCTAAAGTCACGATTCTTAGAAAGAATTAAAATTATTCAAGAAGGGAAGAGTCCGTCATGATTTCACAACTGTTCCCATGACTGGGTCAAGGTGGCAGGTCCCCAAGAGGAAATGCAGTGGAAGAGATGGAGGTTAGGAATCCTTGAAGAGGATTCACTGTCAGTGGGCTCCTTAATCAAGGAATTCTGAAGAAATGTCATGGCAGGATGGGCAGTTTGGTTTGGTTGGGTTTTGGTGATCCACTTACAGTCGCGAGGGGAAGGGGAGGCCTGGCTGGAGGACCTGGCCCAACACACTGCTTAGTCCAGACAGCCAGGAAGTTTTCCCCAACTTGTAGTTTTTTGACACATTTTTAAACTTTGGATTCTTAGGTGCTATTTTTTTCCTTAAATTAGAGTATAATTTAGGGTGCAGGGGGGCCAGTGGGGCACACATAGGGGGAAGCGGAGGTGATCCTGGCCTCTGGGTACCCGTGGACCACGCCCTTCTCTTTTCACACCAGGGCTCACAAGACATTTTTATTTTCGCTTTAGTTTCCTATCAACTGAGAAAAACAAAAGCAACCAGAACTGGGGTCAGAGTCGGGCCACTGAGACTAAAAAGCAGCGCCAAGCCCAGGGCAGCGGTGTCCTGCTGGGGTCTGCCACCTACACGTGGGTGTGTGTCCTCAATGCCCTCCGGCACCACTGTGACCCCAGACTGAATGAAACTGCTTTTTCATTCAGAAATCCTCTTCCCCTCAGAAGCTGACAAGCTAAGTCCTTTTTTTTTTTTTTTTTTTTTTTTTTTGTGGTACGCGGGCCTCTCACTGTTGTGGCCTCTCCCGCTGCGGAGCACAGGCTCCAGACGCGCAGGCTCAGCGGCCATGGCTCACGGGCCCAGCTGCTCCGCAACATGTGGGATCCTCCCGGACCGGGACACGAACCCGTGTCCCCTGCATCGGCAGGCGGACTCTCAAAACACTGCGCCACCAGGGAAGCCCAAGCTAAGTCCTTTTAACTCTTTCCAGTGATGGGCGGCAGGGTGCAGAGGATAGGCTGTGAAAATCAGGCCAAAAAGAAATACAATGTAGAGTCCTATCCGTCCTCTTAGGCAGAACCTGCAAAGCTGTTCAGAAAATGCATCCCACCTGATCCCACATCTAGAAATGATCTTCACTCTGACAGTGGAGTCACAGTGGTAACTGTGGCCTCATCGGAACTGTTCTTGCCGAAAGCTTTAGGGGTGCTGCCCCCCGGGGTTCACCTCTGTCGCATCCAGCCATTCTGTAACCGGCATCCCGGGAGAGAAGGCAGAAATGCGTCGAGCCATCGTGTATGAATTCCCATTGAAACCCTGAAGTTCCGGGAAGTGGAATTCTTTTGTGCACCCTCACTTATAAAATGGTTTTGTGCTTGTTTTTCTCTTCCAGGCGTTCACTACCTTCCTGTGTCTGTACGGCATGGTTTGGTATGCAGAGCACTATGGTCACCGAGAAAAGGTATAGAATGGAAGGTGGAGATGGCCTTTTATTTAAACTAACCACGTCCTGCTTAGCGCTTTAGCCCAGAGCACATGCACGTGAGGATGTGGCGTGTACGGCACAGTGAGAGCCGGGTGTCAGCCTCCCTGCGTTAGAAACGTAGCCAGTGCAGAATTCACTTCCTATCAGTTGCCATCCTTACGTGTGACTGCCCTATTCAATAGGTCAGGACTTTTATCCTCATTTCTTAAGGGGGTTAAAGCTTAATTATTTGTTTATATATATATATATTTTTTTAAATTGCATGGCAAGCCCCAGAGCAGTTTTTGAAAAGCTAGGTCTTTCACTCTGTCCAGGCCTCTACCTGTATCCCAGCCTCGGGCTCCCATCCGGAAACTCCTGCCCTGCCCACTTCATAGTAGATGAAGATTAAGGTAGAGGATAGATGTGAGTGGGCTTAAAATGCTGTAGCAGTCTTGTCAACTGTAATTATTTTTAAGTAAAAATAACAGCTTTCATCCTTTATTCATACTTTTAGTCTAAGGAGCTAAAGGCGCTTCCTAGAAGATGTAATCTGCATCACCTGGGATATAGCCTTGATCTTATAGCTGAGAGCATAAGCGTGAGGTGATCCTGCACTTGCTGGCGGGGATCCCCAGCCTGGGAGAGGCCAGGATTGAGCAGCCTCGCTTGTTTGCTGGTCCCCCTCCTCCCGGGAGCACTTGAAATTCCACCACTAAGCCTGCTTCTCTCCCTAGACCTACTCAGAGTGTGAAGATGGTACCTACAGCCCTGACATCTCCTGGCCTCACGGGAAAGGTACAAAAGGTATCTCTCTCTTGCTCTTTGTTAAAAACGCTCCTGGGTCCTCTCCCTCCCAAGGCCCAGTAAAGGGATTTAGCATCAGTATTTATCTTCCGAATGTTGATAAATATATGCCCTGAAGGGTCTCAAACCTACTCATCGCGTGTCTCCTGTTACTTATTAAGAAACATGCAAAGTGCTCACAGGTTCTGCCCAAGAAACTTGCTTCGTAGGAAGAGGTGCCCCGTGGTTCTGCCTTTTCTGAGACAGGAAAACGTAACAAGATCCCACTGTCTCAAGCATCCTGATGGGGATGTTCCTCCTCTTGGCTTTCACCGTGAGTGAAAAGCGTTAGGAAGAGCTGTGTGCCAGGAGGAGAAAGCTTTCCGAAGAGGTGGATCGACTTAATCGTGTTCATTCAAGAGATAGGCCAGCACGAGGGGGCTCTCAACAGTGTAGTCAGGGATCTCCCACTGGCCTCTCTCCGAGGAGCATTTTGGAAAGATTTGGGGCCACCTGGTTATCTTAAAGAATTTGACTCGTAGAACAATGACCCACTGGATAGTAATTCCATGTCAGTTATGAGGTGATTGTGGGCTTGACTGAAGGAAGAGAACTGAATGTCAGGGACCGTGAATTTTAACCCACAGAATCGCTCGGAGAAGCGGGGACAAGGGAGGGGAAAACACAAGGGAGGGGAAAACACTGCTGAGGCAGTTGCTCTCCTGAGTTCTTTTGGGGTGAAGCTCATCACAGCTGTCCCTGGGGAAAACACTGCCGAGTGCTGGTCACCCTGAGATGATTTCTCCTGAATCAGCAACCTGTTATGGAATGCTGATGGAGGTAGGCACAGGGCTTCCCCTGGGCTCCCTTATTCAGAACCATCCTAGAGATCAGTCCATGGCCATTCCGGGTTCTCCACTGAAAAGACTAAAAGAAACAAGCAATGGTAGAGATATATTTAAATGAAAGGTAGACAGCTTTAAAAAAAAAATCTGGGCCCTGGAGCAGAGAACCTTTTGCCTTAGCTGCTAAGCCAGAGATTTTCCATGTTCTCAGCCCGAGGGCAGAGCCAGCCTAATGCCAGAAAGTTCCGATGACCTTCCAGGCCTTACACACCCCTACCCGGAATGCCCACCCTCACCCCACCACTGCCCTGGCTCCACCCTCCACCTGGCTGATGCCTGATGATTGCCCAGCACTCAGCCAATGTAGACATCTTTCTCTAAGCTCCCACACAAATGATAGAGCGTAACAGACGACACCGTCCCTGTAGACCGTGAGCTGCTTGAGGGCACGTGGCATCTTCCGTGTATGGCTCCGGGGCTGCCTGTCCTGAGCAGCAGATTTGTAAAGGTGGCTTCCAGATCCAACCATTGAGGGCATGTAATATCTTTGATCTTTGCCAAGTCAAGAATCCATTCCCATTTAGGGATTTAGAAACAATGGTGTGTAGCAGGTCAAGGTGTGGACACCTAGTTGATGCGTCCTTTGATTGCTAAGGTAGACTCGACACCCATGTGGTTTGTTTTAATTGTCCCTCCTTTGTGCTTCGATGTTATTTGTGCTCTCACTTCTGGTCCCCATCACCATGACCACGATCCGCCCTACGGTGTGAACGTAAACGTCCTCAGGACGCTCCCGTCTTTGTGGAGCCATGGCTTGCACACCCTGGCCCCAGCTGTGCTAGCTCAGTGCCGGGGCTTCTGTGCCTTGATTCATTAACGAGGCCACTAGATGGCGCACAAGGACCAGTGGAGGAGCGGTGGGGCGGCCCGGACAGGGAGAACCAGAATCAGAGGCTTCAGAAGCCCCGAGCCGGGAGCCCACAGCGCACGGTGACGGTGTGTCCCGATTCCTTTGGCCAGGTTCTGAAGATGGCCCACCCAAGCATCCAGGCAACAGCGAGAGCCATTCTTCCAGAAGAAGGAATCGACATTCCAAGTCAAAAGTCACCAACGGAGTTGGAAAGAAATGAAGGACCCTGGTTAATCAAAGATGTTCCAGGGAGTGCCTCAAACCAGGAGGGGACGGAATCGGCTGGACCTCCCTGCGGGGAGGTCGAAACGCATAGCGTGAACGGGAAGGAGTGGGGGCTGGGAGGGGTCATTATTTGAGAGCATAAGTCTTGTTGCCCACAGACCCGGCCACACGGGGCAGACCACTGCTGGGGGTCCTTCGCCACTTGGGTGTCTCTTGTAACTTCAGCACTTGGCACGTGGTCACCGGTAGCAGGACCGTGCTCAAAGGAGAGGGTAGCTATTTACTCAGTTGCCAGAAGCAGTTCTGTGCTTGCGTGCGTGTGTTGTGGATGCAGTTTAAACATCTTCACTCAGGCAGGGCGCCAACCAGACGGCTGACGGACTGGTCACCAGGTTTTATTTTTCTGAATCTGCCTTTCCGTTTGACTGACTGGTTTAAGTCCAGGCCACTTACCTGTCTTTTATTTTGTTGTTTCTTATTTTTTATGTCAGGATGCTTACAAGCCTTCAGAAGCCACCTCTGAGGTTGAACTGGGGGAGGTTTCTCTTCTTTTTCCTAGAGAAAAAAAGGGGGGGAGAGTTTGTGTTACACTTCAGCAGCCTTCTCCCCTTTTTAGGACCTGAAACTACACAGCGGTGGGTGGAAACCAGGCTGAGGAAAGGTTAGCTACCCACGTAGGATCCTGGGCTTCAGATCGGAACCTTTTTGTTCCCTTTCCAATGTCGCTTGTCCAGACTTATCCACAGTGCACAGGCGTGGACCTGCCGAGAGGCAGTGCTCACCGCAGCCCCTCCCCCCCAGGTGCCTTTTCCATTTTGTTTGTTTTCCTTCCGTGGTGTGTTGCTGACATTGTCTTTTAGTCCCGTGTGAGGTGCTGGTGAGTATTCCCTTTCATCCATCCGTGCCATGCTCTAGAACATTGACCCTGATAGTTCACCACCTCTGATGGATCCCTGTTTTAAATAAAACGGTTCACGTTAAAGCCCATCAAATTCTGTCTCTGTAAAGTGCTCATTTCTTTGCCTCTTACTGGTATTTTCCACTATTTGTAAGCAATCACCGTATTTTTCAAGTGACTTTAGGATAATAAGAATGTGTATGTGTTTCACGTAGTGAGAAGAAAAGAGAAGAAAATGTGTACTTAGAGGGCTTACAGACACATATGTCCCTTTCCTAACCTTCCCAAGTGATCAAGAGGAAATGAACAAGATAGTCATTGTTTTCTTACTAGGGTAATGGTTACATCAACCAAGCTGGATTTTTTTTCTCTAGCAAGTGGCCGGTACCCAGTTGATTTTCCTACAGATATAAACTTGCTGCAAGCAACCCTTTTGTTCCCTCATTTCACAGAGCACAAAGGTTTCGATGTCTTTTCCCCCTTTAGGGAAGTCTTTACCCATAGAAGTGTCATGTTTTTCTTTGCCTGCAAAAGAATCCCAGGGTGAAGGGGTTAAATGAGTCACACAAAGCGAGGATCACCTGCTGTGCTCATTGCCAGCAGAGAAGTGTCGCCAGTCACCGGGCTGGTGCGCCGGGTTGTGCCGGCCCTGCGGTCCCAGCAGTGGCCCCATGCTTCCCGTGATAGTCCTGAAGAGAGGCAGAGGTGCTTGTCCCATAGACTCCCGCACTCTTTTATCACCCATCAGAGAGGCCTTTCTTAAACAGAGGCACAATGTAAAATTTGTTTGACTTTGAAAGTAGGTGAGTTTGTTTCGTTTTGCTTCTCCGAGCACGTCTGTGCATCACGGACATCGTGTACGTCGTCGGCCTCAACTCCACGTCCTCGTGCTGGGCCACCTCCCTGAGTGTCTCCAAGTTCGTTTTCTGGCGCTTTAACCTTCCTCTGATCAATAGCCGGGTGCAGCTGAAGAAGACGTTTCCTTCTACAAGGCCGGCCTAGGAGAGGCCCCCGCCCACCTGCGATGACTTGGATTTCCTTGGGTCACGTGAAAGCAGAGTGCATGTGAGACAGTCTCTCCTCAGTGGCTTTGTACGGAACGGCCGGGAAAGTCCTCAGCTCCTTTCCGTGTCCTTTCTTTGAGTTTAATCTTTTCTTTTTCCCTTTCAGTAAGACTACAGTGTTTCCAAAACTAGTGCTTTCCTTGACCAGCCAGATCCACGGCTGCCATTTCCTCCTAGAAACTGTGCTGCTGGGTTTGGTCTACTTTTTCCACTCATTTCTATGCAAATGGGCTTCACGTTGATGAAATGTAAAATTTTCCTTGTCACGTATGTTTACTGAAGATCGCCTTTAATCCCTTTAATCAGAGTTGTCATTTAGTATCAGAAACGATTTGAATGCAAGTGATCTCACATTTGCCATTTACAGACTGCCCTCTTAAGAGGCACCGTTGTTTAGGACGTAATACGCGAAGAATTCTTTACGTATATTTCTCTGTATGTAGCATGGCATGGAGTGTTGAGTACTTTTTCTTTTTTGTCATTCTTGGTCTTTCCGTGGCCTTTCCCTGCCTTTCTTGTGTCTGTTTTCACCATTTGTAAAAGCCTTGGCCAAACTGCTCCCATAGCAATGCTAGGACACTTCATTGACCTGTTTTAAGCATTTTGATGATAAAAGACATCCTATAAATGCCAGTCTTATTTTCACCATGACTGCTTCTGTAGTGAGCTCATGAGTAAAGTACTCACCTAGGAGAAATAAAATTCTTTACCAAATACATCAGGTTCAGCCCTATTGGTCTCCCCTCTGAAGCTGCTCTGCATCATCTCTAAGTGATACCTCTTTTTGTCAGGGGTCTCCTTGTGGAATTGGACCCTTGGGTTGCCTTATTTGTTGATAATAGTGCAGTTACTCAGGCCCTTACGGGGGGAGCTAAATGCAGGGTGGAAAAGAAAAAATTTAACCATTGGAAACCAGAGGAAGTGAGCACTTTAAACAGGGGGGATTAATTTGTGTGCTCTGTGCTCTTTTAATTATGCGTAGGGTTACCCGCGTGTTCACCAGGTGGGCTTCACTTACAGAGTTCTTATTGCTATGAAAACCAGGTATCCCCCAGGTAGGTAATTGCAAATCCTCAATGTATTTCCCACTTTTATGATTGAAATCAAGATGTGAGGAGAACCAAGACTTCTGTTCATCAGTGTTTCATTACAGGTGCATCTCTTGCCTTCATCGTGCATGTACATTGCAAGGGTTATATTTGAGATTTGGTTCTTTGTGAGTTTCAGCATTAGTAATGGCTACGACCAATGGGCTTCAGAGTCTGGTTGCTAGCCCATAATAGATTTTTACAGCATTTCACTTTATAACATTTTATTCTAAACCTGATGCTAGGACTATCACAGGTGAAGGTTACAAATTTTTTTAATTTAACTCTGGTATTACCTTTGATGCAATAAATACCTACAGCTTTTTTATTTTGCTGTCTTCTGTGAATTTAGAGGAATTATTTATTAATGTCTACCAAAGAAGGGGGAAAATAGTTGGATGTGTACATTTTTGGTTTTTGTTTTTTTAGTGTGTGGGAATGCTGAAATGTAAAATTTTCCTTGTCACCTATGTTTACTAAAGATCGCCTTTAATCCCTTTGAGAAATTCATCTGCAATTTTGTCTACCTTGACATTACCTTTCTTCCATCCTCTTCGCGTAAACCCAGTGAGGACAGAAACATCATTCAGAAAATAGAATTTGCCTGAGAGTTTTGCTTTCCCAGCTGATGGCAACCAACTACCCAACCTACTTAGCCATTCTGGGCTCATGCTTGAACCTCCTGTGCCCCAGGTGTTCATTTTGTTTGCTTGTTTTGTTACTGGAATGCTCTGAAAACGTTCTCCAAGGGCCTGCAAGTTGTGGGCGCCCATATGCCCCAAATGGCAGGAAGGTTTGCTCCGATGTGCCTGGCCTCCACACGGTCTCCCCAGGGCCTCAGATACCAGTGTTCCCGTGTACCCCTTTTCTGGACACTGAGTAAAGGGGACTCGTGTGGCTCTACAACACAGAAAATAAGGTTTGTTTGCCTTTAAAAGAAAAGCAGATAAACCTGAGACCAAAGACCTAAAATATTGCATTCTCATGTCTGAAGTATACATATTATAGCCTTGATTACAGTGTCAAATTGCGGACAGGATTTATGTTCCAATCCATACTGGAAAATCTGGACTGTAAACCTTCTTGTTCCCACTTGCCTGACTCGGTCTCATCGATCCAACTACGTATTCACGGGCTGATTAGGTATTTTATGGACGCAACCTGGGAAAAGCTTATGAAGACCCCCAGGTTTCAAAATGTTGAGAATCCTCTACCTTGTCTTAGACTGTGTGAAATCCAGGCCAAGAGCAAGGGGATGCGTTCACTAGGGCCACCGCTAACAAATCTTCCAAAGGCATTTGAAGGACTGGGATCCTTCGCGAGACCTCTGGATGGGGCTCTTGGAAACCCCTCCTTCCCTCGAGTCTCCCTAGTGGCCACCGTAGCACTCAGCTGGCTTTGCTGGAGAGCCATGTGCCAGAGCAGCACTTCTAATTCCAGGGGAAGGGGGTCCCTGTGACACCCCCACACACACACACACCCCTGTGACGTATGTGTGTTCTTCAGTCCTGTGAGTTTGCTGTCAATCCCTGTTCTCCTGGGTCATGAGGCTTGAGTACTTGACGCAAGAGTACACAGCCACTAGGGGGCGTCAGATCAACCCAGAGGCTCATGCTCTTTCTCCGACTCCAGGCTCCTTGTCTTAATTCTTGGGCACATGTCTTAAGCCCCATTCCCGGACCCGAGCCTCCATCTGTCCCGCTGCCCTGCTCCCAGACAGCCTCGACAAATGGCTTATGAAGAGCCCCTGGGGGCGCCCACGGCGTTGCCTCCCCTACCCCGGTGCTCGCTTTATAGCGATGGCCAAACCTCCAGGCCACCGCAGATGTTGATCCTTGGTGTGATTTCAGCTGGTTGCACGCTCGGTGGAAGGAATAACCGGTGTCTCACGCTCCTTGAAGCAGGGTCCCATCTCTCTCCATTTGGGTTCTTTTCCTGATGTTTTCGTGCGTTCTGCAAACTGTCAGAGGGCAATTCCTCCTGCCCGTAGCAGCTCCCTCTACCCTCAGGAATCTGATTTACGATCCGGCGAGGCCATAAACCTCTGCTCTTCACTTCTGAAAAACAGCAAAGTATGGGAAAGAATGTAAATTATAAATACTGAATTCCTATGGTCAGCAATAATGTAACGGCCTGGGTTGTTGTGTTTTGTGTTTTTTTCTTTAAATATGGTATCCATATGGCTTTAATTTCTAAGGGGCCTGTGTTCCCCCCTGCCACCATCACCATATTTATAAGGAGAACAGATAACAGTGAAATATCCCACTGGGTTAGAGTGTTTTTTTCCAAAATGAGAAATAGCATTTTCTGATGGCTCATTGGCCCAGGATTGAAATGCCTCTCTTCACAGAGAGGGATAGGACTATAGGTGACAGTGACACCTCCACAGTCATCAGCCTGCCGATCTGGTCGCTCTGCTATAAACCAACCCCTGGTGGTGTCACTTAGCAAACCCCACCCCCAATTTTGACTTTCCAGGCGGAGGTGTTTTCTGTAAGACGTTTTGAAATTCTCTTCCTGTCCCTCTTAGCAGTCAAGGTCTGCTCACTCACTGGGAACAGACTTCTTACTTGTCCTTGCACCGCTGCTGCAAACCGTGAAAACAGCTGCAAACTCGTCCTGAAGACCAAACGGCGGCCGGGTTTGAATTTTCATTCCTGGCGTGGGTCAGCGCCAGGCTTAGACTTCACACGCAGGGCAGAAGCAGCTGCTTGCTCCTCTGACGCTTGAAGGAGACGCTGGTCACCAGGTGAATTCCTGCTGCCCTTCTCTGACCACAGAATCCAGTACCTGAGATCATTCTGCCAGTCTTCAGCATTTTTGCCCTTAAACCCAACCTCGTCCCAGTTCAGAATGATGGCTGAAAGCTGCAAAAACACCCAGGGTCCCAAGCTACTGTGAGAACGGCCCAAGTCTGCCAGAGCATCTATTAAAATTGATGGGTTTGTGTTTTTCTTTGTGTGGTCAGGAAGTGTGCTGACAGCAAAGGAGGGTGCGTGAGAACATGATGCTTGAGATCCCAGGCGTGTCCACCCACAGAAATATATAGGCTGACAAGCACCTATTCACTCCCACGCTCGCCTCCATGTCTTCCTGTCATTTTCTTTGGACCACATTTGATTCACAAAATGCCAGGCTCGGCTTCAGCATGGGACCAGCCAGACCACACGGAGGGCGTGGAGGAGAGGGCCAAGGTTCTCAGAAATCTCTCGGTGCATGTTGTGTACGTTTTGACTGTCAGGATAACCTCAGCTGCAGGTCCCTTCCTCAAAATCGTGTCTCTGCCAGAAGGTTCTGTGTATGTACATCTAAGGAATTTCAAGAGAAGGTGAAGATAAGCCCGGCGGTGATGGCCATAGAATATGTACACAACTGATGGGTAATTTTATGTGTCAACTTGACTGGACTAAGGGATGTCCAAACAGCTAGTAAAGCATTATTTCCGGATGTGTCGGTGAGGGTGTCCCCGAAAGAGATCGGCATTTGAGTCAGTAGACAGAGTAAAGCAGATTGCCCTCCCCAGTGTGGGCAGGCCTCATCCAATCTATTGAGGGCCTGAATAGAACAAAAATGCAGAGGAAGGGTGAATCTGTTCTCTCTCTGCTTGATCTGAGACATCCCTCTTCTCCTCTTGGACGTTGTTGCCCCTGGTTCTCAGCTTTCAAAACTCAGAGTAGGACTTAAACTCCCCCTTTGCCCCACTACACACACACCGTTGAGCCTTTGGACTTGGACTGAATCACAGCGCCCACTCTCTTGGTTCTCCAGCTTGCAGACAGCAGGTTGTGGGACTTCTAGGCCTCCATAGCTGTGAAAGACAATTCCTATAATAGCTCTCCTCATGTGTATAGATGTGTGTGTGTGTGTGTGTGTGTGTGTGTGTGTGTGTGTGTGTGTGTGTATCTCCTGTTGGTTCTGTTTCTCTGGAGAACCCTGACTAATACAGCCAGGCTTATATTTAGACTAAGGTTTGTAAATTAAAATTATAAAGGGAAATGAGAATTGGAGTCCTTGAGTAATGAATGCTCCGAAATGTGATTGCCGGCCTGTAAATCAACTTGTATTGCCACTGGTTTTTCAGATAACATTGCCGTGAACAGCAGAATTGCCATTTTAGTTTAGAACAAGGGCATACACACACCTTCTGGTACGCTGCTGCAGAGATGGCCAGTGCCATGAAATCTACCCCAGATGGGTATAATAGAGTGGCCCAAGGACAAAAACAGAAGGCCACATCATACACTGGACTCATTGCCCCAACCTTTCCCACCTGTCCTATTCTGACCCTTGGTTTTTAAAAAATCATTGCACCACAACCATACCACCCTGAATGCACCCGATCTCGTCTAAAAAATCATTGCAAACAGTTAGTTGTATCTTGTTTAAAAAAAAATCCTTTAATGAGCAGCTGCTCAGACTGAGAGAAGGGGAAAGAATGTTTAGTTTTTCCAAATAAATTTCTTGATACTTAGTGTGTTGGCATCGCCCAATTGCTCTTCTGTTGAGACTCTAATGTGACTCGCAGGTAGTGTTTTTGCCCTACGTGGCAAAATAATTAATGGTAAAAACTAACGCTAACTGTGTGCTGGACACCGTGCATGGTGCTCTCCCTGGATCATCTGATCCGTCCCTCGTGAGATCCTATTGGAGGACAGACTGAGGCCTTACAGAGAGAAGCAGCGGGACTGGTACCTGATGAGTGAGGAGTTGCGGGCTTGAGCCCACACTCCTTGGCATCTCACGGATCAGCAAGGTCCGACTCAGCCATGTGTCCAGCATCAGCTCCTGCTCACCCCCTGCACCCCCTCGTGCCCTCCACCCCGCACTGATAGCACTATGGGACCCCCGCCCACCATCTCCATGGCCCACCAAGTACACCACATTTTCAGGCTCCACAGCATCTGTGACACGCCTGGAACGTCTGCCCCTGGCATTCTGCCTGGTAAGTTTCATCGTCCTGAAAAATCTCAGCTCAGACACTGTGCTCTGTGAAAGTCCCCCGATCCCTGATGTGCATGGACGTGCTCCTTCCCTGTGTGCTGTGTCCACCTCTGAGTGGCAGTTCTGTCTCAGGTCTCCTGGACTCAGCCCAGGTTCCTAGCAGTGTTCATCCCCAACACCCAGGCCAGAGCAGGTGCTCAGTAAATGCTCTGAATGAGCACGTGAATGAGTGGGGCTGTGGGACAGAGGCCAAGGACCACCCCTTCCAGGATGGACACGAGGTGTGGGCGGCTGTTCCACTTCCCTCTGGTTCCACGGGAATCCTGCATGGAGTCCTTCGGCCCCGCTGCATGTTGGCCTGCAGTTAAGTCCTGCTGCCTCCACTCTTCTTTATTTTTTTAAATGATACCGTTGTCCATCTCATGACATTTATCTATTTGCTTGTTATTTATTTAGCCAGGCTGTGCAGCATGTGGGATCTTAGTTCCCCGACCAGGGATCAAACCCATGTCCCCTGCAGTCCTGCAGTGGAAGCGTGGAGTCTTAACCACTGGACCACCA